ATGGGGCAGGGGTTCAAGGCAGGGCAGGGTATAGGCGAGGGAGCGGGTGGTGAGCAGAGGAGAAGGGGGCCGGGCGGGGTGGGGCTGGCTGCCTCAGGCCCGGAGCCGGCCGCGCGGCCCGCCTGTCGTGCTCCATCCGGCGATTCCCGTCCCCTTCCGAACCGAAAGCAAGCACCCGCTCGCGGCCCAACCCCCGGCCCCCCCGGGCGCGGCACCCACCTGCGCGGCCCGCGCCTGCTCCGCGTTCTCATACTCCACAAAAGCATAGCCCTTGCTGCGCTTGGTGGCCTCGTCCTGCGGGTGGAACAGGCCGCCCTCGCGGATGCGCCCGCTGCCGCCAAAGATCTTGGTCAGGATAGCGGTCAGCTTGTCGTACTTCTCAGCAGGCACAGCGGGCAGGTTGTCCACCACTGCGGCCAGCACGCGCGGGCCGGGGCAGGCGCGCAGGGTGAGTGCGCCGCAGGCAGGCGGCAGCGCATGCGCGCCCGTCGCCCGGTGCTGCCGCGGCTCGCGACCGCCGCACGCCGGCGACAGCGACGGCGCCAGCAGCAGCAGCGAGCGACCGCAGCTCCTGCATGCACGCAGCGGCTGGCGGCAGCAAGGAAACCACACACAAGCATGCAGAGCGGCAGCGCCCCGCACCCAACACATTGCTGAAACCCGACTCGGTCTGCAGATCCTCCTCCTGCTCCTCGTCCGACCCGCTAGGTATGTCCATGTCGTCATCCTCCGGCAGCATGACATCCGCCAGGTCGAAATCCCCAAAGGGGAACCCCCGGGGCTGGCCCTCGTACATCTTTTCCTGCGGCGGGCGAGAGGCGGCGGCGGGTGGGTCGCGGCGGCGGCGGCGGCGACAGGGCGCGCACGCGGCGCCTGCGGCTTTGCGGCGTGCGTCTCCCGAAGCAAAGCAGCATGCGCAGGCACGCGCAGGGGCCTGGGGCCCTGCCCCCTGCTTGCATTCGCTTTGCTGCCAGGCAGCAGCATGCTGCGTGTGTCTGCATTTCTGCTGCCCTGCGTCAGGCTGCCCACCTCCTCAGGTGACAGCAGCTTTGTGCCGCCGTGCGGGGGCGCCATGCTGGGTGATGGCTGGAGCTGCTGGCCTGATGGCAGGGTCTGGGCGGGCGTCAGCTGTGGGGGTAAGCTCCTGGGATGTGATGACGCCGGGACAGAGGCAGTGAAGCGCAGGGCGGCGCTGCAAAAGGGGGGTGATGGGCGTGCGTGGGGGCGGGCGCCAGCACTCGCGATCGCGCCTCTGATTGTGAACGTGAATGCAGCTGACGGAGCTGACGATGGCAGAGGAGATGGCAACTTTCTACCCGACCTGGCCAAAATTTTGACGCAGTAAAAGCAGCGGTTTCAGGCATTCCTAGTGATGTGCAGCAGGTTGCCGTGGCACAAGATGCATCATGGGGCATGTTGATCAACAATGCACCGCCGTTTGCAGCGCCACGCAGCGGCATGCCACATGCCGCAGAGCCGCTGCCGGCGGGATCATACACCGCCTTTTGCGTGCCCCATGCTGACACCGTTTCCAACTTCAATATTGCTCAACTTAGATCATTACATGTTGCGCCGCTCGTGACGGGCATCCAGAGCTTATTAGCGCGGCAAGGGAGAGTCGTGTTTAGTGAACCAGTTCTTTCAGGTCAGAGAGAAGGCAAATGAATTCGCAGGGCTGGCCCCCGGAGCGATTGCAGGCCAGAGGCGAGAAAGGAGAGCATCAAAATGACCAGGCAAGCGAGCAATCAATAGCAGTCAACGGCAGGCGGGTCGGCGCTCGGGAAGCGCTCCACACTC